CATAACTTTTAGTTTTTTCGAACAAATATGACTCTTTTTTTATTTTTTTTATTTTCAATAGATATAATTTTCAACTATGATTTTTTCAATAGACATTTTATTTGAAAATGTTCCAACATACAAATATTGAGTGCTTTGACATAGAAAATCTAGGAAATAAATTTCAATTTTTTCCATAAAAATCAACTATAGTAGGTTAAAATAAAAAATATTATTTGAAAACTAAATGAAATCAAACTAAGGCTATCATAATTTAATGAGAGAGTTAGTCAAATAAAACCAAGTCTATAGAAAGCGGGAAAAAAAGAAGAGAAGCAAAAGAGACGAGAAGGAATCTTAATCGTTTTCTGGATAATTGTGAGTTAGCCATTTGTTTATTTAAATTTGAGAATAATCTTGCATGACGTGATCTCATAACCCTTTACAGTTGAATAAGTTTATTGATGTGATGAGAATGATTTATTTAATGGTTTCTTTTTAAGTGTGAGATCGTGCATGATTCAATTATATAAGGAAAAGAGTTTTCATTTTAACATTTCAATTAGTAAGATCTAAACTGCCAACATTTAATAATTTTTTTATAAATCTAATCATTTACTTATTCTAATAAAAAATAATAAATAATTTGTTCTTGTATAATTAACCATTTATTTTAATAACAATTCAAATTTGGCTTGGTAATTATTGTCATGTTTTGGAAAGATTAAACTTCAAAATTCAAATTGACCTTGCCCCTTTAAACTTCATTATATGTATTAAAAAAATGCTACTCCTGAATATTTGAATCAATAATAAATATTTATATTTTTTGTTTAAAAGATTATATTAAAATCTGCCTTCCTCTAAGTAATAATAAAAAAAAACTCCTTATAGCATGTTTGGTTGGTGGAATGGCTAAGCCATTCCCCCTTTATTCCTAAGGAATTTTGATTCCTTTATTTGGTTGAGAAATAGTCCAAGGAATAGCCATTCTCCCATTCTATGAGGCATTCTTTCAAATCCTCCAAACTAAGGAATAGGTAATACCATCCTCCCCATGGTATTAGTTTTTCCATGTTTGAGGATAATAAAAAATCATAAAACTAAATACCTTTTACAAGTTTGAAAAATTACAACTCTGTTTATATAATATTATTTTTTTTTTCTCTTCCTTTTCTCTTCCTTGATTCCAACTTTTAATAAATATTAATGTTTAAAATAATAAAAATTAAATTATAAATAATATTATATTAAATTAATTTTTAATAAATAATTATAATTATTTCTATTTAAAAATAAATTAAAATAAAATAGTATAATATCATTTAAATTATATATAAAATATTAATAAATAAATCATCAATTATATATTTTAAATAAATTACGATTATTAATATTTAAAAATAAATAAAAAGAAAATAAAAAATTAATCATAATAATATTTAAATTAAATAAATATTAATTTTAATGGTCATTATTAACATTTTATTAACTATCAATTATTAATATTTAAAAATAAAATAAATTAATACATAATTATTTAAATTAAAAATATTATATTTTAAACATTATTATTAATTTAATAAATTTATTATTAAATTTCAATTATTAATATTTGAAAATAAAATAAAAAAAATAATTGATCAAATAATATTTAATAAAATAAATATTAATAATTAATGATAATTATAAATGAATATTTATATTTAAATTTAATTATATATTTTATTAAATTCAAATTATTTATTAAAATCTTAATAAAAATAATAATTATATAATAAGGGTGTTTTTATCTTTTTTTTTTGTGTTTTTTTTTATTCAAATTATTGTTACCAACCAATTGTAATGTCATAATAACTATTTCTGTCATATTTCATTCATCGTACTAAACAAGTAATAACTATTCTATTCTTCTCACCTCATTCTATTATCATATAATAATTTCTATTTCTTCTTACTTATTCTACCAACCAAACGTAACCTTATGTGTAACCTATATTTGAATGAGTTAAAGCCATCTTGTCAAATATTCCATATTGGCCCCTTACACAACCTAAGGGGCATCACATTACTAAACCTAGAATATGCCACGTTCGCACTCGGGTGCTATAATTTGTTACGCAAGAGGAAGGTTGCATGATTGCGTGCACAATTGACTTGCTTCTATAAACAAATGTAATGGTTGTTAATTTCACTCTTGGTCTTGCCAAAAAATTATATATGCAACCCTCATGTAGCATAAAATAGTGCAACTCCCATCAAGTATTGGGCAGAATAATAGTTGTGAAATACCCTCCAAAAGAAATCTCAACAATTCCAATAAAAGCATAAAATATAAAGAAATTAATCAGCAGAAATAAGAATAATCATTGAAGAATTCTTTGGAAAAGCCATATGTATAGTTGCTATAAAAACATAAAACACAAAGAATAGATGAAAGGTAATCATAATAGCCTCATTCATTTTTTATATTCATTTCCAACTTAATAAAAAAATTCATTGTTTAGCAATTGCCAACATTCTAAGCTTATCAAAATCACGATCGTGTATAACAAAGTCATATCATGTGGCTGTCCTGTGGTATGTTATTGTAAGTTACTGCATAAGCATGCTATTATGTTTTTATGTTACTCAAGATTCAAACTTAGTCAACATTTAAAGCAAAAGAAACCTTTGTGAACTGTTTTCCCTTAGTAATTTTTTAATATTGAAATGAATAAAATCTAGTGTTCCTCTTTGCTAAAATCTTGAAGAATCTTTTTTTCTTGTGATCCACATGATTTTAAAATCTTTAAGAATTTTACTTAAGATAGGTTAAGAAAATAAACTTGTTATGTGTTTTTATTGACATGCTTGAGAAGCCTAAATTATAGATACTTGCATGTAAATATTGATTCATGCAAAATTTGACGCAAGTAATAATCTTGTACTCCGTCTATACCAATAGTTTATGATAAAAAAACGAAAAATTTCATATGTGCAACTTTCCAAATATTTGACCTATTATGCTCTCCTTGCCATTTTGGGACTTTGTTTTGCATCATGTAGTCAATGTGCACTAAAAGTTTATACATTTATTCCCACCTACTAAGAAAAATGTAATTCATAATCTAAACATAAACAAAAGATATGTTCCTACTGTTCCATAAACTATACAGCCTTAAAAAAGGCTTCTAAAATATAGATGGCAGTTAAATTTCAGGACTTCTTATCAACTATAGGCATGCACAAAGTTATCCTCAAAACAAAACAATTCATAAAAAATAAATATTATAATGTAATTTAATTAAACACATTACAAAAAAACGTATTTCTAATTTTCTTAAAAATAAATGTTACCTTAGTTTCAAATACACGCACAAAATAAAAATCCATTAATAATAGAAGTGGCAAAGAATGACGTTTGAAAGCAAAACCATCACGAGCTGAAGAACAAGGAAACCAAGAACAACCCTGCAAAGAACGGAAGAAAGCAAAGAAGGTAAGATCAATCAATCAAAAGCAAAAAACAATGGAAGAAAACTCTGAAAAGGTCAAAATTACTCTTATCCAAATTGACAAAACTGAGAGATAAAATGTATGAAAGACTTGAAGAAGATGGTATTACATTGAGCAGCTGAAAATAAACAGAGCATCCATTTCAGCCACCCACATATAGGATCGTACAAAGGAAATCGGTTGAAACCAGCTCCTGATGAGCTAAACCATCAAGCATACATAGTTGCAAAAACAAAAAATGCTGAAAATACCTACGTGGACTAAAATCATTGCACACACTCGACTATAACACATGGGCAAAATATTGTAAAAAATCGAGACAAAGAAACACATCAATCAACATCTGACCCAAGGCTGAAAACTTTGTCTTTCCCAAACCTAACGTCTGAGCTAAGGTTGAAAGCTTTTTCTTTCCCAAGATACGGTTCTGTCTATATTTGTTTTCCCTCCAAATGCAAAAAAAGAAAAAGAAAAAGAAAGACACTAACCAAACTTGTCCATGTGGACTATACTCAAGCTTTGAACCAAATATGACAAAGAAGATTAGTATTCATTCGGTGGGAAATATAGCGTGTTTGTTTTATATAGAAAATGAGTGCTGAAAAATGGTGGAGACATTAGTATGTTGGATTTATACTCCAGAACTGATGCTTTGTTGGACCACAGGGAAAACAAAACCCCACCCCATGATGTAACTCTATTTTGCCCATAATCAATGCAAAACATGTCAAAGAAATAACCGAGGACGGAAGCTTTATTAGCTGTTCCCAGCGCCACGCATCATGTAGAAACACTCAAGACGTGACACACTCAAAGAGGCCAAAAATGTGGCCAAATGTGATAGCTTCATTGAGGTTTCCTTTTACTTGTATAGAAAATGAGTGTTGAAGAATGGTGGGGACACCAACTCGTTGGATTTATTTTGCAGAATTGATGCTTTGTTGGGCCATAAGGAAAACCAAACCCCGCCCCAGGATGTAAGTTTATTTTGTCTATAATCAATGCAAAACACGTCAAAAATATTTCCACGAGTGGAAGCTGTGTTAGCTGTTTCTACGGCAACACGTCAACTAAAAACACCCAAGACGTGGCACTCAAAGAAGCCAAATATGTGGTCAAATGTGAAAGCTTTATTAGGGTTTCTTTTTACTTCTAGGTAAATGCTTGACTTGGATAGAGTTATGCGAAAAAGTGCTATTAAACAAATCAAATAAAAAATTGTGATTAATATATATATTTTTAAAAAAATAATTGTCAAATTAAAATCATATAAAATGATTTGATAATGAGCCGGATTTGAATAACGGCAGATTTGGGGTATGAGCCCTCTAAGCGACTGCTGTGCCACACTGATTGTGGGTATTTCAATCTGTAATGGGTTGGTCCAATTTGATCAGTTCGGCCTAAACAATCGACCCAAGCAGTAATGGGCTGGACCAACCATTTGATCAGTATTGGCCCAAAGAATACACCCAAGCAATGTAAACAACAGCAGCAGGCGAGAGAGAATCACCTGCATCAATAGAAACTTAAGCAGAACTATTCGACCATCTTCCTCTGAAACATTTTGATTGCCTTTTTGATCAGTAGCCGCAGGAAGTCCCCATTTTTCTAGCAATGGGTTACGTACAGGAAGCACGTGAGAATCACGTGAAGAAGAAAGTTGAAGAAGGTTAGCCGTTAAAAAGGGAAAAAGAGAAAGAGAAACTAAACCCTTTCTTCTAAAACCCCTGCTTTTCTTCATTTCAATTTTCTTTTACTTTCTAACATTTTCTGAGCACAGAAAAGGCTGGATGGTTATAATTTTGAAATGGGTTGATTTGGGTTTTGTTCAGCTTTAAGGAGCAAAATGAAGCAAAAGGCACTGAAAGAATGTGATCATTACACTTCAAAGTATGCTCAATGTGCTGCCGGGAGGACTATATCTATTGTATGGCAATGTCGTAAACAAGCTAAAGAATTAAATTATTGTCTTCATCAATAGTAAGTTCTTCCTTTCTTCCTTAATTTTGCTTTGTTTTTTTTAAGGAGAACTATGAATTATATCTTGAAATTGGTTCATCTTTAGCTACAGTAATGATATGCTGAAGCAGATTAGTATAATTGAGTTCTATTTTAAGTTGTTTCTTTCTTTATATCGAAAATTTATACTGTCTCTTTTGCTGAAATATATGAATTTTGTTTATTGTACTTAAAGATATATCTTTTGTTCATGTGGATTTTTTTCTATATGAAAGGGAGATAGCTATATTTTATTTCATGAACCTCACTCTTGCATGCCCAAGACTCAACCTTGGAACTTTCAAGTTGAAAGTCTTAAGTTCCAACCATTAGAGTGTTTCCTTGGGACAATAGTATGAATATTTGCCTAGCAAGGATTTCTAGCATTGCAATTTTTTTGGCAAGCATATCAATGCTCAATTATAGATAGTTAATTGTGAAATGTTTGCTATAGCTTTATTGATGAAAACTCTTGTATGTAGGTGCATCATATTGACTACAATTCTGAGAGTTGCTGTCTCAGACATTATAAAAGAGTTAAAGCATGAACATCTTAACCATTTCCGCAAATTATCTGTTTAAGTATATTGATTTGAGTTTGCTATAGCCCTGCTATTTTTGTTGCAAACCAAATTAGCATATTAGCATTGACATATTAGCAACAAAGTTTTCCAGGGCTTCTTTAGGCATACACATGCATAGGAACTCCTGCAAATTAGAAATGGATGACCTGACTCGGGCTGTGGCTCAATTTTTGCAGTTTGATGGACCATTATGCAGTGCAATTTTGAAAGTTTGGGCTGTCCGTTTCTAGGCCATAGGTTTAAATTCTAAGAGCGCTTACATTGTGCAGAAACACTAAAGGGCAGGACTGTATTTAAATCAACACTTCCAAGACTGTGACTTGTTGGAACTATAAATTACTAGAGACTGCCTCCCAATTTTTTAACTAGTCCTTAGGAAACTCAAAATCCAATTCTGTTTTATTCGTTAGAAAGTAGACTGGAATAGGCTAGTTGTTTACTATGATACACCAATCGATTTGTTATGATTTGCGTTCACTCATGATGAATTCTGTGATAATCTATATGAATCCTAATTCTTATAGATTCTGCCCTTTAAACTCATTATAAATTCGTGCTTAACATCTATTTGAATGTTTAGAATAAATCCTAGTTACCAAGATTAATAACGTAGGAATCTAAATGTCATAGCCTGTAGGGTTTTCTAACAAACTTTAATCCTAAATCTTTAACAACCTAATAAAAAACCTTACAATAAAATAAGATGATTCTTTTACTCTTCTTGAAAATTGAAATCCAAGTATGGTTTTTGATCTTCAAACTTTCAAACCTGGTCTTAAACAATATCTTGCCCTATAGAAACAAGTTGGCTCATGAACTTCCTCTTGTTTTTACGTATGTTAATTTGGCTACTAGGTTGAGTTGTATGCAGCCCTAATTTGCTTATATGTCCCTTTAGTTATAAATTTATTTTAATAAAAGTCCCTGCTAATTATATATAATGAAGGGACTTCATTCTATATTAGTGGGCTATTGTTGTACTCTATTCCAATTGTCTGTTGTGGTATCCTATTCCACAATAGATATAAGCGTGAATGATAAGAGCCATATAAGGGTTCAAGTAACTCACTACTCACAACTTGACAGTGTTAAGCTTTTGAAACCCAAGGTTTTAGTCCAAAAGGTTGTTGGGTCAGTGGTGCTTGGTTCTGAATCATTACAATTGGTATGAGCATGTCCCAACCTAGTCAGTTCACATGGTGGTGGTGTGATCTTGGTCCCTGTCGTTGTAAGTTCCTTTTTACAATCGTGATGTGTGGCTTTTACAAGGATATTATGGATTTGAGTGGGGAGCATTGTGATTCCCATCTCACGTCAGATATAAGTATGAATGAAAAGACTAGCAACTTGAGTTTACAGTTTTGAGGTCACTGGTTTTGCCTTTCAGATAAAAAAGTTGTTTTAAGCAGTGATGTTTGGGCCTGGGGTGTTACAGTATCCATGTTGATTGTTAAGCTTTGCACACTGTGTTTGGTACCTTGTATGTAACTTTGTAGTTATTGCAATAAGTGACCTATAAGTCTAAGTAGCAGTTTAGAGATGACATGAGAAATGAGAGGAAGAATAACCTAATTCCTTGCATTGGTATGGTTGAAAGGAAGTAGGTTGTACATTTTTCCATCTTGATACAGAAAGCCGTTCTGTAGTTAATTTAGAATGAGTGCACATGGGTAATGCAGGCTGTTTTGCTACCTTTTCTGTTGTTTCCTTTTCCCTTTTCTTCATTACTCGAGAGCTTGTTGAGAAAATTGAAACCGAAAAAATGTAAACTCTCTTTTGAAAAAAATTTGGCGATGATAACTCTGGTTGGTTTAAAATTAACAGACATGTTGCAAATTGTGATCTACAATGAATTTGAAAGTACTCATTTCTTATGCATTTTGTTATGGCAGCACCAATGATGCTGTCTTGGAGGCAATGAAGAGAGAATACACGCTTCAGGAAAATGAGAAAGGATCTGCAAGAGTCTAAGCTCATTCCGTTTGGTGGCTACAATTCTGCAGAGGAGTCTTCAACGTACAACTTGTTTGTCTTAATCCATATGCCTGCATTGGACCTGCTATTTTTTATCCAATCTGGCTTGTCTTGACAAAGATGCAGTGCCATGGGGCAAATACCTTTTTTATGTGGGATTGGAGGCTTGAATCTCCAATAGTTGCAAATACCTAATGCATTTGAATCGTGGATCTATCTGGAATTGCAGTTTGAGATTTCAGGCTCTCCAAACCAAATGTTGTTTGTTAGAGTAGATAAGCAAACTATTCAACTGAAAACCATGCTTCCTATGCTGAATGATTAACTTATACCAATCATCTCTTTTTGGTTAATTTAACATTTATTTTCATACCATGCATTGGCTTTGAAATACTGGTCTAACTCATCGAACGCCCATGTTGCTCATGGGTATCCATCCAGCCAATGGAAGAAAAATATTTGGCAATCATATTGCAAGTTGCTGAATTTGGCAATCTCTTGAAGTGGTTGGATTAGGTACATGTCATTTCTAAATTTGTCCAGGTTTAAGGCACTTCATGCCTTTGGTTGTTTTAGATCTTTCTCTTGAGGTCCTTGCCAAGGTCAGATAGGTACACCTTTTTCGTCTTGATATTCGAGGTTCAATTGAGTCCAGTTGCTTCGAGTTCTGCATTATTTTGCTTTGATTCAGGTTAGATTGGACAAGAGAGTTGACTCATGCGAGTGGAGAACTTCTTTCACCTCACCGCTGTACTATGAAAATGATTGTGATCCAAAAGAACCTTTAATAACTTTCTCCCGTGCCCCACTTCAAAGATGGGAGTTTCGGAATACCTGTTGGATTTGGTGTTCTGTAGAATTCGAACTTAAAACTAATAAAGCATCATAGGAAATAAGACAGGAAAAAAACAAATGTGGGGGTGTTTGTAAAAGCTAGAAACGAGGGAAAAAAAATCGACCAATGCCATGTATACAAGTGAAAAAACGAAGCTGAAAACTAGTTGAACGGAAATGGATATTTCCTCTCAAAAAAAACTAGGAACACAATCACCTTAGCTTACATCACAGTACAAGATGATCAATGACACCCAAACCACACCCGGCAAAAAAGAACTTAACTGAAGCACACAAATATGCTTAAGTTGGCTTCCGCATGTTTCTACCAGCGCGAATGACTTCATCCACCAATAGCAGCTGTGATGCAATTACAGGCCTGAGGAACAAAGTGCCTTTGATCATCTCTCAAACTAAAGACTAGATAATATTATTGATGGTGAACAAAGTGCTTTTGCTCCACATTTCATGCTAAACATGCATCACAATAGCAAGTAAAATATTTAACAGTGGAAATTGGTGAAAATGGAAAGATAACACCAATAGTTGCGAGATACAAAGTAGGGAAAATGGAGATAAATATAAAACACAAGTAGAAAGTTTTCACATACCCAGAGTTTATAATTTGGCGCTTAACACTGTAATTATCAAATATACCCTCCATTTGAGGGTCCATTGGTTCTCCTGTCTGATGATTTAGACCCACAATATTACCTCTGTCATGCTCTCCCTGAATAAACATTTCAGAAGAGAAGGCTCAATTTTTTTTCCAGCTTTTACTTTTAAAAAGAGGTCAAATAAACATGACTAGGACAAAAAAGTAATACCGTGAGACCAATTATAACATCCTGAGTATCGAGCCCAGAGTTTTCAGCAAGTGTCTTGGGTACCACAAGAAGGGCATCAGCAAAAGCTTCAACACCCAATTGGGCACGCTGCTCAATGTTTACAACCATCAGAAATATTTCAATAGTCTTTAGAATTAGAACCTTTCTAAATAATTCAAGATCATGAAATATCGGAAAGACATACCCCTTGAACAGTTTTCTTCACTTCATTAATTAGGTATTGTCTAGCTGCAACTTCAAAAGCTCCTGCACCCTGAAGCACAGATTAGGCATAGATTAGAATAAAACAGAAAAGTTCATAATGTGCTTTGCTCTATTGGTAGGATTTGAACCAAATAATTCTTGGTCCCAACCGATTTCAATATATTTGACCTAAAGCTCAAAGACTGCATGTAGTTTGGATTCCCTAGCAGAGTACAGCATAAAACATGGACTAAGATCTCCATCACACTAACCATTCAAACAATACACATTTAATATAAAGAAAATGCCAGAAGTCTAACAGGCCCATTAACAGATAAACCAATCAATAGGGTACAATTTGTACAAGTTGCTTGTTGAACTTCTATCTTCTTTTTCCATTACTATTTCCACTGGAGTCTCTAGAAGGGCAATCTGAAAAGCAATATACCCCAACGAGACACCTATTTATTCTTTTTTATTCTGCTATATAGCCCATCTGATCAGATTTTAGGAATATAAACAGAGACCTGGTTTTTCCCATCTGCCTATCACAGTGAAACAAGCACCTGCCCAGGTTCAAAAAGATTGTAGACTCAACTGTTTTCACCTTATATGCATCTGCATACCATAGACATGAATATAGCATTTAGAATTATCCTTCCGTGATACTTGTGGATAATACTCTGATTCGCCCACTGCATAAAGTTCTCATATTACGACAATCATTAAGATTCCAAATTTGTTCCGAAGGGCTTCCGTATAAAATAGCTTAAACTGATTCGCTAATTACCCATGCTTTCGGTTTTCGCTCCAAAGTCCAATTTACTCGGTATAATTTTATTCTGCCCTGGGTAACTTACTAATAAAAAAAGGTTAACAATGATCTATGCAAAGTTGCAAATACTCTGATAAAGATGCACCAAAGACTGCAAACAAAATCAATAGTAAGCAAAACTTACTAACACAACAGCTTCATCTTCAATAGTATTCTTGACTGCTCGCAGCCCATCACGAACAGCATCCTTAATTTGGGCAATTGTGTGGTCATTAGGCCCTAGATTATAAATGATAGAATGAATATTACGTAAAAATGAAGGTAAATGGAGCTTAAGCAGCACCATCAATGATGATGTTAAGGTATATGAAGCTGCAAACACATTTCAAGTACCTTTTATTAAAATTGTACATGAATAAGGATTCTTCACATTTTCCACAAATGTATACTTATCTTCCCCAAGGACATGCTCATGTACGAGTCCAGCCCAGCCAAGACAATCAGGTGTTAAATCTTCAACAGAATTTACAGCTTCTCCTCCACAAGCCAACACCAGCCTTTCCATATTTCTTCTCTTTGCTCTTCTGAGGGCAATGATCTACAAAACCATAAATCAGCAAATTAAAATACAAGAATAAACAAACAGGTTTGACACAATTTAAGTAAAACCGTTGAAAAAATCATTTCAATTTTACAGGAAACACTTCAACTAGGAACTAGCCTAAATCTACATGTTTTACCATTTGAGCAAATGCCCCAAAAGAATAGAATCTTCAATGTCTAGTAATAATAATGAAGACTTTAATTAGCATACTCTAACAAACAACAACTCCTCGGATCCATTTAGCACCATGTCATTACAAAACACGCAAAAGCTTTATCCGCTTTAGTTGTTAAAGATATTACAGTAAAATCAAAGAAAAAGGCTGCTATAAATTGTAAATGCACTTTCCCCTTGCTATTCTAGAACCACAAATTTCCCCCATAAATTCATGTGAATAATTGTATAGAAGATACCAGGGAAACATACTAAAAAGCTGCCAATGAGAACCATATTTTGTTCTAAAACCAAGGTGGCCATCCTAATCAAAAAGAAGGAAAACACTAGTTGGTACGCCAAAATGGAAGCTTATGAGATATATATCCTGCTGACAGTTGAACTAATGCAATGAATAATACAGGTTGCAACCTAAGGGCACAAAAATTAGTAGTTTGGCATCTCAGTCTTCATGTGTTCACTTTTTTATGCTCCCCTCTTGTTCATTGGGAAACATTGATAAGTTGAAATCATACATATAATGTAACAAAGTGACTTCTCTAGCAGGAAAAATATTTATATGCAAGAAGCAATCAAGTAAAACATCATTAAAGATTTATAAGTTGGGACAAAGACTGAAAGAACAAAGGTTAATAACTTACCCCTGCTTGTTGAAGGAGATGCAAGGAAGGGGGATCAATACCCTTTTGGTTGATAACAACAAAGTTGTTATCAGTGCCTGCACAAACCTGCATATGACCAAGAAGAGTAGGACATAGTAAGAATTTACATATACCTGCTAATGCCTCATTTCTAATGTAATGATGCATTCAAAGCTACCTTTTGTTTTAGTTCAATAATTTTTTTGACTCTGTCATCAACAGAACGCCTTTCAGCTGCAACCATTGCCTCTCTCTGCTCCGCACTTGAGTAGAAAAAGCCTGCATTTATTTCACTGATAGCCAAAACATTAGCTGTATGATGACAATGGAAACAACCTATATCCACAGAAACATGAGCACCAGCTATGGCTGGATCAATAAGCAAGGATTATTATGATAAACTCAAATTTCTATCTTAGTTTACTGTAAATATATCATAGTAATGGGCAAAGAATTGCCAATAGAAATTTGAAAAACTTCTTAAACAAACAGTATCAATCAAGAGAAATGAGTTCAAACATTTCAAATCCATCTAGCAGAAAATCTCACAAGATAATATATTGAAGAAAACAGAAAATTATGAATTATAATGCATAGAAGGAAACACAGAAAAGACAAATAGTGCACAATGGAACATGATAAACTAATGAATTGGACCACTAGAAGCAGGGATAAATGATTTAATTTCTACATGACTAAGACATGATCTTCTTGTTGATGGAATTCTGCTCACTAAACTCCATGCATCATAAGAACTTCATGACTGCACTTTTAAAAAGCAAAACAGCTATCACCATGGTTACTACACAGTTAGGAAACATCAATTTTATTATTTTATAAAATTAAAATTTAGTTTCTTTTGCAAAAGAATAAATCTCAACTACAAAATAAAGCACTGGACACCAAATGCAGGGCTTGGCCTATTGGGGAACAGACTTAACAAAGGAGACGAATTACTATCATAACCTAAACTTCATTTCTGATAAATAGAGGATAACTAATTGAATCTTCCCAACACCAACCCCTGCCCCCCTCAACCCACATACAAATAAAGATGCTCAAAAAAAGACAAAACAAGAAACAAGTTAAAAGACATTTGCATGTGCATACCTTTTCTCATACTCCAGTGACACATTGCAGGTCAGAATGTAACAATTTTCTGCTCGTCGCTTCATATCAGGATGCCTAGAACCATGATCAAGAACTAGGCCCTCAACCTAAGGGAAAATAGAGGTAAAATAAGAAACTGCATGACAACAAAAGGCAATAAATAAAACGCACAACTATCCAATTATACATGCAAAACTTAGCTCCAACTATCTAACCCTGTTGAGTGAAAAATAATAACCAAAAAACAGTTGGAAAAAACTTATAAGCAATAGAAATATACACAAAGTGACATTAATGTTATGGGTTCTTATTGATATCATTTGATAATATTCATTCTTGCACAATAAGCTTCCAATGTTAGATAAGGCAAGCTATAGGCAATCAAAGATATTCAAGCTCCTAACGAATAACATTATAAACACAAAACGCTTTAATAACAGTTATAACCAATAAGGCAAAAATTTCAATGCCCCTGGACCAACAGCCTAATTGACAAGTTAGAATCTCAAGAATGGGCCCTTTCTCCCGAACACCTTAAAATGAGAAATTAGCCTCAAGCCTTTAGAAGCAGTATGCTCCCATCAAATTTTCTCAACACCATTGTTACCATCCTATAACAACAAACTGGACCAAAGCCATTGAATACTACAATCCTGAAGAGTTTAATCAAGCAAATAAGAGAGATATCAAGGGCACTCCATAAGAAAGGAATGCGTTGCAATGAAGGAAAAAGAAAATAAGCCTGAAATTACAACATACCAGTCGTGTGTCTACATCAAACTTATGCCGCATGTGCATTATTTCCACCATAAAGAGATCAATAGGTTCATCAGGCTTTCGTACACACAGTACCTATCACATTAAATCAAAGTTATGTCACCAAAGTGTTAACCAATTAACCAGATGACAAGTACATGTCTTAAGATGAATTTGACATGCTTAGTAGCAAGTTTTAAACAGAAATCAACATGCACTTACCGAATTAACAACTATGTCAGTCAGTTGATCTGCTAATGCTTCATACAACTGTGTGAGAAAACAATATATCAATCACATGATTCAGATACACTGAAAAAAAAATATCAGAGGGAGGTCCAGAGAAGAAGAATGGAATACCTAGTCCTCAGTGTTGTTCTTGCAACCATTTTTAGAATCTCTTTATCTGGTTCATTACCCATCACCACAGGAGTCTTAAACTTTTCAAGGAATTGGAGTGTTGCTCTTTTGGCAATTTCAAAACCATCAACCAGGACACGTGGATGCATCCCTAAAACAAGCATTATTATAATTTGTAAAGATAAAGAATGATGCAAAAAAAAAAAAAGGGATTACTAATAAAATTATGCTTTTAAATTTCCTTACAATGATTAGATAGATGAATTCCATAAACAGGCATTGATTATCTGAACCTCCAACCCCTCCACACGCATCCCACCCCCCTCCCCCAGTGCCAAAAAAAAAAAAAAGATGTCCTTTATGTGAGAATAACTATAACTTCCCATCAAGTGTACCCATCCTTCCAGTTCAAGTAGTGAAATTCTCATCGACTCAACCAAACTTGTCCTAATTTAACATAAACTTGGAACTATTCTTCTTGTCTCACTTTTCAGCAAGTAACAAAGAGACAAATCACAAATGAAGGTTTGCTTGTATTGTATGACCATGTACGTGTAACATGCTCCATTTCTAGAAAACCAGGAAATAAAAAGACAACTTGAATTCACAAATCAAAGGGATTCTTATCTCAAGCTTTATTTTGTCAATGAAGAATCATCATAAAAAAGGCACCATGGTGGTGCCAAGCAAAGTACAAGGCTAACCTACTAAACTATATTGAAAGAAATCCGATACTAAAAGTTTCACAAAATACGGCTGGGGTTGTTACGTTCTCTACTTGCTTGTTGCAATCCAGAAGAAAAAAAACCCTCTAAACTGCTTTTGGATACAAAACAAACAATTGCATGTACAATTTAACAAAAAAATTACATGATTTTAGTTTCATATAGAAACCTTATATTACAATTGGCATTAAATCTTAAACATTTCTACATATTTAATTAGTTATAATAATTTTTTCCTTTTTCACCATCTGTTTTTACTTTTCATAACTTTTAAGAAGCAAAAAGCAACAATAAAACCTAACAAAGAAACTCAATGCCGCTAAGTTCCAAAAATCCCAAATCCAAGGAGAAAAATTCAGGAAGGTCCGATGCCTAAAAGCTAAAAGTTTTAAAATTTATTTAACGAAGAATTCCCAGCACTAACCTTCATCAATGTAACGCTCAGATTGTTTCATAAGCTCGCCAATGAAAATGACAGTCGAAGTAGTTCCATCTCCACTTATATCATCTTGCGCAACAGCGGTCCTCGCAATCATAATAGCCGTTGGATTTTGAATTTGCTGAAAGAAATTATCGACCAAGTTACTCAAAAAAATGTAAAAGATCTAGGGTTTTATTTAAATAAAGAGAGCGAGTAAGAGAGAGAGGGAAAGAAAAGGACCATCTCTTTCAAAAGAGTGTTGCCGTCTTTAGTGAGCTTAATATCGCCGGCGCCACCGACGAGCATTTTGATGGTGCCTTTGGGACCGAGATTCGATCTCAGGACGTCTTGTAAACCTTTGGCGGCGTTAATGTTCATGTGAAGCGCCGCCGATTTGTTTAGGACTTCGGCATTCGGGTTCAGCACTCGAAGCGACATCGTTTTTTCTTATGTTTCTGTTTCCTCTCCAAGTAGCAACAATAAAATTGCAGAGAAGGCGAGAGGAGAACGAGGAAATGTTGTGAGACAACTCAAACTGAACAGTGAGGACTGTAACATAGCTTTGAAGGGGTTTTAGCGCTTTCGGGAATGTGAATGGCGTTGAAGCGCACCGTTTTTGCGCAATATTGGAAATGCTGGCGTTCTGTTTGGAAGTGTACGAAGCGACGTCGGTTTTGGAAGTGTTCCTAATGTAGGAAAATTTTTTTTATTGACGAAATTCATTATTTTTTAAGATAGTCATTTTAAAATTTTTTATTATTAATATTAATAAAATTTATGTAACTTGTAAATATATATAAAAATTTTAATTACGTCAAATAACTTTCATTAAAATTAATTTTTATTATAAATATTAATAAAATTTATCCCATTTTTAAATAAAATACTAATTATATTTAATGACTTTCATTCAAAAATATTTTTCTTAATTCTAATAGTATTGAATAGTATATATATATTAAATAATATTACAAAATTCCAATTGTAAATATAATTAAGACATTAATTGTCTTTTATATAATTTGTCTTTTAATTACAATTGTCTTTTATGTAGAAATAATTAATTTAATATTTTTGAAACACTTTGTATTTTATATATAATTACCATTTAAAAATAAATAAAAATAAGTATTCACATGCAATACATGTGACAATAAAAATTAGTAAATATAAATCCAAAAATAATTAAGCGTAAATCAGTTATTTGAACAACAAATGCATACACTTATCATTAAACTAAATACTTCACTACAAAAAATAAATGATAAAGCATGTACATTTAGGCTTGTTCTTAGGTTAGGTGTTACATATAAGAAAAAATAATAAATTTTTGACAAAGATTTTAGTTAAATTTTTGTCTTACCTCTTTGTTTATTGCAAATTTGTTGCCCTCACAAGACCAAAGAGAATAAATAGGGAAAGGCTGGTTTTGCCCTCAACATTAATCTTCCTAGTTATCTGATATTCATTCTATCTTATCAACAATCTTGGTACTAAAGACTACAGAATTGCCTAAATTAAGGATGTTGCTGTTGATGGTCTGCAAGTGGTCAAAGATACCATTGAAGACGAAGCTGTTGAATTTGTAAGTTCATCTCGTTTTAGTTTTGTTATCTGAATTTATTCTCCAAGCTGACTCAAATTTACAATTTCATTTTGTGTGCAATGCTTGCTGCAGCTTTCTCAATTTGTTCTCATAGATGGTTGTCTACCTTGTTTTCCAAGTAATTGATCCTGCAAAGAATTAAAAAAAATATGCAGTAGTTTGGATTGAAAATGTAAAGAACAGTGAATTAGCATGAATCTGATGTATGTTGAAGCTGTTGGGAGAGTTTGGATCTTTGTCATTGCCTTAATGTGAGAACTTTATGAAAGTATAACCCACAATTCTTGTGGGAGAACCATGCTACATGTATTTTCACGTGTACAATACACGGATGCATGTATATAAGGTAAAAATATGTAGTTGAGCCTGCAATTTGTTGAAACCTGGGCTTTATTAATTTCTCCCATCACCCTCTTCAGAAGATTGCAATAGAGGGAGAAACAGAAAAAGAAGGTAGAGGCTCCAATGAGCAACTTTGACAAATTGTCACCTATACATTGATATAGAAATCTCTGTTTTTTCTGTTAATGAGCAGTTAGCTTTCCATAGTAATTTGTGCAAGTTAAATGTGTTCTATTAGATTGGTGACCATGCTGGAGCGTAGTCCATTATTTTATATCAGTCTCAGCCAGGAAGGGCTAGTTGCAACCAGACCTTGAGCTTCAGGTCTACTCATAAAGTCATGCTTGGGCATTGAGAATTATTTGCTTCAAATCCAACCAATAGAAGCAAACACATATTGCAAACTTTTCTGTTATATTTTGATCTATGCCTAATTTGATCTTCAAAAAGCAGGAGCTTGATTCATCCATGACCCTCGATTGGTTATTGCGTATAGAAAGAATATTTATCTACAGAGATATAGGTATATGAATGTATGCTTTGGCAAAACCAGGCTGAAATAATTGGTTAAGCAAGGTATCTTTAATTGAAGCTCAATAGACTGATTCTGCTTTTCTAAGGCCAGAGGGGAAGTGCTTCAAGCTGTATATTTACCAAATTCAGCCATAACAAAAAAGGAGAATGAATCTCCCCCATTCATAACTAAGCAGAACGATAAAAACAAAGAGAATTTTATTCTCATCAGCAAAATTCAAAGATATTTTGTTTTGACAATGGTGACCCTTGTGCTTAAATAAACTGGATTGAGTTTGGAGAGAAAATTGAACTTTTCCACTTCCCTTTACGTATAGCTAGTAATACATGTAATCAGAATCTGATGCCTAGCATTGAAGGTTACACAAGCGAAGTGGGCACTGCTACATGATAATCTTCTTAAAAATAAATGTATATTCCTCACATCTACACTTTGTGTAGGCCAGTTTCATTTACTTTACATTAGGAGCATTGAGGAATCATAGATTTTTATTTACCGGTGGCTGATTCTGTTGTTGAATAATTTGTCATTTGACTGCAAATTGCATCTGAGATTTAAGGATTCTTTATCTGAAATTCCTTGACGTTTCTGAATTGTCATGGAATTTTTTTTATACTACCTCAATAAACTAATATGCAAACTGAAAACCATGCTGATTATAGAGCGAATTCTGTGGTCTATTGTTTTCTTTTCAAAGGATACTGGCATTTATGCTAATTTGGCTTGTACATCAACACTTGATAAAAAGACAATGGGAAGAAAATAGCAAGTGAAGAAGAGTTGCAGTGCTGAATGCAGAAATATTCAAGATTGGTAAGAAAAAGGATATCTATGGCAGAGGTCCAAGAAGAAAAAGCTAGTCATGTACATGCCTCTACTTTTTGTTGTACCTGAAGCAACTAAATGGATGCTTTGGTTGCTTCCTACAAGCTTAAGTTGCATTATAGAAGAAACTAGTGACCGACATCATAAGATGAAGAGTTTCATTTGATTTATCATTTGGCCCATTGACAATGAGAGAGCTCATGACATAGAATTTATCAGTTTCCAAGTCACTTCTTTCTTCTCTCACATGCATACACTTGGATGAGTGAGGGTAGTCCAAAAGGAGAAAAAAAAAGGAGAGAATCTTTAGAGAATAAAGATGGAAACCCCATTTGCATATCCCTTGGCTTGGGAGGCTAATTTCTGGGGAATTCAAGGATGAAAAGAATCTAAACTTTTAATTTCCTGGGAGTTAATATAAGGTGAGTGAGACCTCCCTGCCTTCCCTTGAAAGATCATAAAATTGAATTGGTTCAGGTTTTTTCCGTATGAAATCTTCCCAAATCTTCATGGGACCTACTGAATATTGCCATCTTTAGGAGCTATCGTGATATGATCTTTTGTCACTTTGTTTGTCTCGTGTTTAGAGACTGTCAAAGACTTATTAATAATTATTATTATGGAATTGAATGAAAAACGCTGTGATGCATTCTGATGCTGGAATTTCCATTGAATTAGGCCAGAATACATAGTAAAGTTGTCAAAATATATGGTGGCTATACTGCAACTTCCAATAAAACATTCTCTGATCCTGTTTCTGTTTAAAAAGAATATTTCACAGTCAGTTCCAATTGTCCTAACTGTAAGAGCATATTGGGCTCAAATTCATAGAATGTCCATAACCAAGATTTTTCTTTTTTCATTTGTTTTCCTTTGGTGATTATCATTATTATTCACTCACTTTTTAGCTGATGTTAATTGGCATCTTATTCTTTTCAACATTAGTTCTCATAAATTCTATTAAACATTTCTACAAAACTAGACATCTGTCATGCTAGTTGCAGAACTTGGTTAGACTTAATTACAAATCCTGTTGCAATAAAGGACCAAATCACACTCTTGAAGTCCTTTCGTTTTCCCTCTGTCAACATGATGAAGCCTTTCCATCCTTGTAACGCAACTCAGGAATGCCAGCAGGATTGAAAATTTTCATGCAGATAAAGATGGGAGGTCTCTGGTTGACTTAAAACGTTTTCTAACCTGATATTTCATTAGCCATATCGTAATATCATGGTATTTTTGCATCCCAATCTTCGTTTCCTGCAACTAGCTCATAGCAAGATTCAACGCTTGAGAGAAAAATATGACAGAGGGATTGATCTTCTTGATATCTTCTTCAACTGAATTTTTTATGGATGAACAATTGAGTTATGACCAAATATTACAAATTTGGAATAAAAGGTAGCTGCAGTTTCATTTTCTAAAATCTGGTAGAAGAATCAAAGGACTAAGTTTTTTCTTTTTCTTTCTTTCCCTAATTCGCAATCAGTGTTCCTTTCCTACTTTCAGCTTCAATCTAGAATTTTCTCTCCAAATGTTGACAATATGTCAAAGGAACAAATTGGCTCACCCCTTTCCTCCAACAAGCATTGACTTGCTTGCCATCGACTTCAATTTTGAATTCTCTGTTCCATTCTGACAACTCTAATGCGTATCATATAAGTTTTAGTTTTATCCTAAGTCTCTGACTACAATGATATCAACTTTGTATCATATTCGACAAATGTATTCCTTGTGAAGACAGAAAGATCATTTACTATTTTCTGAAGATTATCTTTCCTGTTCTAATCTTTTTATCCATTCCCATATGAATGAAAACTTTCTTAGTGGCCCTTTTATGCTTTCCTTCTTCCATGTGTATAATCTTTTCCTCGGTGGCAGATCCCTTACTATATGCAACCAAATCAGAAGATCACTTTGTGAATTTATCAGCTCAGGCTCATCCAAGTACACTGTTAACCTGATTCAAAACTTATGACACAGAGTTCTTGTTTATCACCTCAATCATGATTCTGATTGAAGGAGAACAAAGTATTAAAGCCAACAACAAGGTCACACCAAGTGCTATATGAAGAATAAGGAAGCCTCAAGAAATGGGCGAAGGAAAGATTCTGTATGTAGCAAGTACAAGAACAAAATCTTTAAAATTCTCTCCAACTTTTCCACATGCTTTTCTTTCTTCTGCTACACTTTTTTCTTCCCTTTTTCTTGATAATATGAGAATATCTCGCCTTTGCTCATAGTTTAG